TGGACCAAAAAATGATGTTTCAGTCTTCTACGAAATTGACAACAGACAACTACAACAATTCTACAGACAACAATTCTACAGACAACGCAGGATCACGAAGGCCCCTGGTTAATCAAACCATTCCAGACAGCAGGATCCATTACGGAGAAATTACTTCGACCAAGAGCCAAGTTTGTGTCAGGTACAAACAGTAAACCAAAATTGTCAGAGCGCAATGTTTGACTCAGGAGAGGCATTGTTCTAGGAGTGACTTTGTCAGTTAAATATTTAGGGGCGACTCCATTAATACATTTAAAAACGGTTAAACATATCTTGAAAATAATTTTCATCATCATTTTGAATGATGGATGAATGAATGAATGAACAAACGAACGAACGAATGAATGAATGAATAAATGAATGAACGAACGAACGAACGAACACGCAAAGCAACAATTGGATGAATAATTGATTGAGAGAGCAGAATGGAAATAATCAATTCTAATAATATGATTTATTGTTTATTAGCTTATACCACAGAGCCATATTTATGTATTTTTTTATTTGTCTGTTGATGATAAATCGTCAATAAGAAAACATAATTTCATTTCTTTCCTTTTGTTCAAAAATGATGAAAAAAATTAAAAAAATAAAATTACAAATAGTTTTTACATTCTCAACCAATCAAACTTGTTTTAATTTTAAAAATAAATTTAAAAATATCGCCATGATTAATTTTTTATTCTAATAATTTAAACACTTCTACACATAACGACAATTTGTTGTCAGGTAACTGGCCTGCTTTCAACACGCTGATTAATTTTCGTTTGTATGGGGAAAATTGCTCGTCTCCTCCTGGAATGTTAACTCCTCCCGTTTTTGATTTTTAAACAATAAAAATTTTCGATTCAAACAGAACGTTGTTTCGCAATTATTTTTTATACATTTTCGCCGCGTGACATTCCTTCAAAAGAAATTCACTGAAAGGAACGTTTTGATCGATCGCCATTTTTATGACTTCCACGTCAGCTCTCAGATGGAAAGTTTTTCAGATTTTTAGTTTTTAAATTCAAAAAGAAATTATGAAGCAGTAAAAAATTACTTTTTGAAGGGTGGCTGGTTGTTTGTTGAATTGTAAAAATTTAAGGACAAATAGACAAACAAATAGACAAACAAACAAACGAACAAATAGGCAAAGAAACAGATAGACAAACAAACAACTAGACAAACAAATAGATAGACAAACAAACAATGACACACCTCAATCTCTCGGCAAAACTTCTCTCCTTATCTGATAGGTTGAAATAATTTTTGTTGGAATTCTCCCAATCCGACTTACTGAATCTGTTGTACACTGCGTTCCTGTTTAATTCATAACATTAACGCGACGTCATCGTTCCATCGTCTTCGCCGTCCTCACGTGTGATGTCATCATCATTACATCAACGTTATTGTCAAAACTTCAACTTCAAATTTGAACCATTTGGTCATCAATTTGGTGGTGCCAAAGCCACACACACACAAACACTAAACTTACATACATATATCATACATACACACACACACACACACCACACACATACATACACACACACATACACACACACACACAATGTCAATGCGTTAATGAAAAGCGTTTTCGGATGAAAAATCCATAAACTGACCTATTTTTATTGTAAAACGTCTGTGATTGGGCGAATGAATTGGATCGGATCATGTGATTGGACACGTCGTGGTCGTAGATACTGGGCATCCTGCCTAACATGGCTGAGGGCGTGCGGCAGAGAGGGGAAGGTGAGGCGAAGGCCATCTGAGTAAATTATCATAAAATTTGAATAAATTAACATAATTATATGAAATTTTGTATTCCATCCGTTTGAGCCTATATACAAACAATACAAACTCATATACAAACTCATATACAAACTCGCACATACACGCGCACACACTCGCACACACAGACACGTCTAGACGCGGGGTGTTCAAACATAGACACAGCAATCGATATTTCAATAAGAATGATTTTCATTGTCATAAATTATTGTTATAGTTGTCGATGTAATAATTAATTCAGTCGTAAATACCCACATGCACTTGAGTGCCTCAGAGTTATGGAAAACTGGAGGAAAAGTAAAAGGATGTATTATTGAGTGAATTTATCATTTGATATTTTAGTTACCTCACAGACTACGTATACGTGCTTCTGGTTTACTTAATAAATGGTTTAAATGGTTTTAAATGGTTAGATTGTAAATGTGAGCTCAGGCTTGGATTGAGCCGGTTGAAAGTAGTAAAAATATGAATATTTTTAATGATTCAAAATACTAATGCTAATTAATTGACATTGATAATCAATATTTCAATAAGAATTATTGTCATTTTCATGACTTGAATTGATTTAAAACTACTACGTAATGAGAATTTTACTGATTCAAAATACTAAACTAAGTAATTTTTAATGCTACGTGGAAAAATGATAGCATTTTTTAAATGGTAGTACGAATTTGTTAAAAATACATTGGCCACTATGATGAGTAGTAATAATATTAATCAATTTTATTTGTAATAAATACAAATTTAAATCTATTTAAATGAAGATTTCATCCGAATACTTGAAAATAATAAAAAAGTCGCAATAATATTTAGAATCGAATGAAAATTAATCAACCTTTTTTCCGAATGGTTGATAAAGATAATGCCACGTTCAATCAGTCAATCAATCAATCAATCAAACTATCAGCAGCGGTCTGGCTGATTGATGTCAATCAATCCGACAAGAAGTTTCAACTTTTCAACGTTTCGTTCTCTGTTCAATTTTTTTTATCTTACCTAAATATTAATAACTGTTAAATATTATTATTATTATATTTATTATTATTATTATTATTTCGCTTAAGTATACTATTATTACTATTTTTTGATTTTTACATGTAACTTTAACTGATGGACAAACTTCGCGTCGATTTATTATTTTTGGTATTTTAACGGTGTTAATTATTGTTATTTTTATTGTTGCTATTATTATTATTATTATTATTATTATTATTATTATTATTATTACAACTATTAATTGCCTAGTTTTTATTAAAATAATATTTATATAAATATTGTTTCATATTTCTGCAGAAACCTCTAAACTACTCATTGCCCAGATGAAAACATTAGATTCCACAGTCCAGTTGTTTTGTTATATAAGAAGTCGGCACACACATCTTCCTCAACATCTCTAATTAACAGTAAACAAATAATGAAAAAGAGAGAGAAAGAAAGAGAGAGAAAGAAAGAAAGAGAGAGAGAGAGAGAGAGGGAGAAAGAAAGAGAGAGAAATATTTTTATGCTTAGGAGGAAAAGAATAATGAATGTTTTAATTTGTTGTTAGCAACCGCTGCTAGGGGAAGGATAATTTTTATGCCGGTGGCATAAAAAGTCTATATCTATATATCTAAGTCTATATATTTTATTATATTATACACACACACACGCACACACACGCACAAACACGCACACACGCACGCACACATACACAAACAAAAAAACAAGACACATACGTTTATATACATACGCATGTAAGATGTGTTTGGGGGTTGCTATCCATAAATTCTCTTGTTGCCTATTTTAATTGTTAATTTGCGTCTCTGGTTTTATCCAGTGTGTGTTTGTGTGTATGTATGTGTGTATGTCTGATGATTTGTTTTGTATGTTTGTTATGTATGTGTGTGTATATTTTTCATGACTGTATATTAGTATTGGCATATGTTTGAACGATTTCTAAGCTTGAACAAAATCAATGTAGTAGTCAAATAAATTTTCAGCTCTGCGATCAACAGCCAACCGCTGAAATGGTATTCGAACGTTTCCGTACAACTGGCACAATTCACAGTTTTAATTCTAAACATATTTCTATATAAATATATATTGAAATACCCGCTTGGGGCTCGATTAAACATGCATGTTGGCTAATTTTTTCCATTGTGTTTGCGTTTGATTTTTTTTGTCTTGCTGTTCGATACCGTTTTTTTGCATATCAATATTTCCATTGTATGAAATTCAGCTGATTGTTCTAAAAGCTCTCATTTATTTTGCATACACGCACACATACACACATAAATACAACATAAACACTTGTATAAACTACACACACCACACACACAAATGATATGATAATAAAAGGTGATAAGAAATGTACCAGTAAAACTAGTAGAAGTTGTAGTAGTAGTTGTAATAGTGGTAGTAGTAGTAGTAGTAGTAGTAGTAGTAGTAGTAGTAGTAGTAGTAGTAGTAGTAGCTAGTAGCTGTAATAGTAGTAGTAGTACACATATGAAGGCAAGAAAGTACCAAGGTGAGCAAATTGAGCAAAGTAGGGCCTACGTGAGAGATTGCCAACATATCGACAATTTTGACAAACAAACCGTCATCATCAGTCTTTATCCTCTCTCTCTCTCCCCTCCCTCTCTCTTTCTCTCTCTCTCTCTCTCTCTCTCTCTCTCTTTCTTTTTCATAAAACTCCCAAATTACCAAAGTCATTTCATATTTTCATGTTATCTCCATGCTGTTACCAATACTTTTCTATAATACAACTTCTTACTTCTAATACTTTTGGTATTCATAATTTTAATTTCACCATTTCACGACTCGCGTGTCTGCGTTTGGCTGAGTTTAGGTTACGGAATAATGAAAAAAAATGTTAATTTTTGCATGCCAACCTTGACAGTTCTTTGAAAAAGTCTTGCAAACAGAAGCTCAGCTATATACATAAAAAAAATTTTTCTAATGTTTAATGTTTGCCAGGAGGCAACAAAAAATATCATACGTGTATGTGTGTACATTAGTGTGAATACATGTGTGGGCATACATACAAAGATACATATATACATACATATATACATTCATACATACGTACATACCTATATAAAGATACATATACACAATTAAAAAAACATAGAACTAGACTCTGATATAATTTTCTCCATGGCTTCTTTCATTGAATTACAAGAGTTTTTCAGTTATTTTTCTCTTTTTATTGATCGATAGGCCTGTATTGTTTTATCTACCTTGCAAGAATTAGAACGTATGTATGTATGTATGTATGTATGTATGTATGTATGTATGTATGTATGTATGTATGTATGTATGTATGTATGTATGTATGTATGTATGTATGTATGTATGTATGTATGTATGTGTGTATGTATGTATGTATGTATGTATGTATGTATGTATGTATGTATGTATGTATGTATGTATGTATGTATGTATGTATGTAAACAAACAACTGAATCAAAGCAATCAATATTGAAATCACCAGTGATGTATGTATGTATGTACTTACGTATGTATGTATTTATGTATGTATGAATGTGTGTGTGTGTGTGTGTGTGTGTATGTATGGGTATGTGTGCGTGCACGTATGTGTGAATGTGAGGATGTATGTTTTTAAATGCATTTGTGTACCATCAACAATGTATTGTCTTATGTGTTTTGTGTTTTTTGTCATTTGCCATTTCCGTAAGGTGTCGCCAGTAAAAGATTATTGATCGAGTGAAAGACTAAATGAATCAAATGGATAAATGAATGAATGAATGATAGAATGAATGAATGAATGAATGAATGATAGAATGAATAAATGAATGAATGAATAAATGATGAATAATAAGAATAATAATTATTATCATCAACGACAACAACACCGAAACAGGAAAAACAACAACAACTACTACAACAACAACAAATAAAACAAAAACATCAACAACATCAACAAAAACATCAACAACAGCAACAACACTTATTGTTCTATCGGTTGCTAGGGAAGACAATTTAGACCGGTTTATTATTTTATTGAGATTAATAATAATAATAATAATAATATAATAATATTATGATAATAATAGTAATAATAAAAACACCGCTACTACTACTACAACTAATAAAAATAATACCGATTTTAATAATAATATTACTATTTTTATTACTACTTTTATTATTATTGATTTTTATCGCAAAAGTATCATCATTTGGTAGACGGCCAAGAAACATTTACTGCAGGTGCCGTTAAAATAAGTGAGTGAACGAAACGAACGAACGAACGAACCAAGGAACAAACGAACAAACCATTGAACAAACGAACGAACCAATGATTGATTGAATAATTTAATAAACAAACAAGTAAAAGAATTAAAAAATTTAAAAAAGAATCAAACAAACTAAGTTAATTTATGAAAAAAAGAGCAAAAAAGTTTACAAACAAATGATGAACGAAAGATTGTAAAAATGAATGAATAGACGAACAAACGATTTTAAAAACGAATAAACGAACGAACAAACAAAATTCATGACTGGAATAGACAGACGAATAGGCCGAGAACAATACGACGGAAGTACAAATGAACATATGTATGGATAAATAAACGGATAGATGAGTGAATGAATAAATGAATGAATGAATGAACGAACGAACGAACGAGAACGAACGAACGAACGAACGGATGATTGAATGAATGAAAATAATTGAATATTAATTATTTTGTCCATTCATCCGATTATTGTTTATCACATTGCTATTTTTATTTTTATTCGTTTTGTTTTATTTAATAAGTGA